CTGTTTAGTAAAGAAAGCCGTAGACTTCTTATGGACAGAGGAATGCAAAGTCACCTTGGCCGACTTAAAGAATTACTTGACCACAGCTCCAGTTCTCTCAAATCCAGTAGCTGGAGATGAGCTATTCTTATACTTGGTGATTTTAGAGCATGCAGTAAGTGCAGTAATAATCGGGGAAGATAAAGGAGAATAGAGGGCAGTCTACTACATGAGTAAAACCTTGGCAGATGTAGAGACCAGATACTTGCCCTTGGAAAAGTTGACACTGGCTTTAGTAATGCCCTTCAAGAAGCTGAATCACTACTTTCAAGCCCACAAGATTGTGGTGTTAACTGAGTATCCTTTGAAGTCCCTATTGCAGCAAGGAGATCTGACAGGTAGGATAGCCAGATGGGCAGTGGTGTTGGGCCAATATGACCTAAAATTCAGACCTAGAACAGCAATCAAAGGCCAAGTCTTAGCCGACTTCGAGGCCGAGTTCACACCAGGCGCCATCATACATCGGGCTCCATTGAGCCGAGGTACGCGATGTCCAAATGAACAAGAAGAAACCCAGTTGGGATAGCTAAGCAGAGAAAATAAGAGAAACTCAAGCCCTATAGTATTTACGTCGGCGACTCCTTCCGCCTCTTTGTTGAAAGAAGTTCAAACCGACAAGGAGAGGAGGCAGGAGTAATGTTGGTGTCGCCGGATGGACAAATGCTGGAACAGTCCATTCATTTGGGGTTTAAGGCCTCAAACAACAAAGTAGAGTATGAAACATTGATAGCATGATTAAAGTTAACAGCAGCAATGGAAGCCGACGAGGTAATGGTCTTCTATGACTCCTAGCTTATCGGCAACCAGGCAACAGGCGAATACGCTGCCCGAGATGAAAGGATGGTGGCCTATGTACAGGAGGTGGGCAGACTAATAACATTGTTCCAAAATTGCCAACTACAGCAAGTTAAGCCAAGATGACAACAGTCATACTGATATTTTGGCCAACTTGGCTAGTGCAATAAAACTAGGAGAGGCAAGGACAATAATGGTTGACTACTTATCAAGTCCAAGTGTAGAACTACTGAACACAGAACATGAAGCAATGTGTGCGGAGATGGGACCAAGCTAGATGGACGTAATAGTAGTATTCCTTAAAGAGGAAAAACTGCCAGATGGTCATAAAAAAACACACAAGATCAGACTGAAGTCGGCAAGATTCAGTCTGACAACAGAGAGACATCTCTACAGAACATCTTTTACTGGTCCCCTTTTGAGGTGTGTGCATCCTTCACAAGTTGAAGACTTCTTGTGTGATATACATGAAGGAGTATTTGGAAGCCACACTGGGGGCAGTTCACTTGTTCATAGGGCCATTACTTAGGGATACTGGTGGCCCTACATGCAGAAAGATACTGAAGCTTATGTCAGAAAGTGTGAGAAGTATTAAAGGTTTACACCTTTGATACACCAACCAGCAGTAGACTTGAACCCAGTGTCCAGCCCTTGGCTATTTGCCCAATGGGGCATGGATCTTATTGGCCAACTATCTCAACCAACTGGACAAAGGAAGTTCCTGCTAGTGGCAACAGATTACTTCACCAAGTGGGTTGAAGCTGAACCCCTTGCAAAGATTCGGGACATTGATGTAAAGAACTTTATATGGAAGAACATTATCACCAAGTTTGGGATCCCAAGAGCAATAATAGCAGACAATGAAATGCATTTTGACAGTAAGCTAATCAAAAGCTTCTGTGCAAAGTACAAGATCAAGAATTACTATTACACCCCAAGTTTTCCTTAAAGCAATGGACAAGTAGAAGCATCCAACAAAGTTATCTTGGATGGGATCAAGAAGAGGCTGGAAGCAGTAAAGGAAAAGTGGGTGGATGAGTTACCCAGTGTACTCTGGATATATCGGACTACGCCGAGAAGATCAACTAGAGAATCCCCATTTGTCATGGCTTATGGCACAGAGACAGTAATTCCACTGGAGGTTGACATCCCAGGGATCAAAATCCAGGGAGTAGAGAATGAGACTAATGATGTATTTTTAGCCTGAGATCTGGACTTATTAGAAGAAAGAAGGAAGAAAGCAACAATTCAACTAAGGGCATACCAGCAGCAGCTTGTCAAGGCTTACAACAAAAAGGTCAACCCACGAGAGTTTCAAGTTGGGGACCTCGTCCTGAAAAAAGTCGTCGGCAACAAGAAAGATCTTAGAGAGGGCAAGCTTGGCCTAAATTGGGAAGGACCTTATAGAATCATTTCGGTCCTGGGTAATGGGACATATCGGCTTGAAGACAGTGAAGGCAAAGAGTTGCCAAGACCTTGGAATACATGCAACCTGAAGTTTTTCTATCATTAAGATTTTATTTTGTTCTTAAGTTTTTCTGATTTTAACCGAAGTAATTAATAAAATTTTAGCTCGATTTTTGATTTCAAACTTGTGTAAAAGGATTGACCAGTCACTTAGCGATGTTTCTGAATGAAACATGATGAATGACTTAGACTTATTATATGGTAGAGTTGAATTATACTTGCATATAATAGAGTTGAACTAAGTTGACAATGTTTCTGATTGAAACATAACGAATAACTTAGACTTATTATATGACAGAGTTACATTATACTTGCATATAATAGAGTTGAACTAAGTTGGCGATGTTTCTGATTAAAACGTGACGAATAACTTAGACTTATTATATGGCAGGGTTGAATTATACTTGCATATAATAGAGTTGAACTAAGTTGGCGACGTTTCTAATTGAAACATAACGAATAACTTAGACTTATTATATGGCAGAGTTGAATTATACTTACATATAATAGAGTTAAACTAAGTTGGTGATGTTTCTAATTGAAATATGAGGAATAACTTAGACTTATTATATAACAGAATTGAAATATACTTGCATATAATAAGTTAAACTAAGCCAGATTCACCTAGATTTGCTATATCGGCAGAATTAAAACTTTGAATGGCACTAAACACATATCAGTTAGATAAACAAAGACCGAGGTTGATAACCTCGACCAGTCTCTGTTTGAATCTGATCTCGGCGACAAGATCATATGTACATACTTAATGTGAACGTAAGTGAAACTTAAGTTCACATCAGGGGGCAAAGAGTTGAAGAATAATGCTTGGAAGTTGGAATTTACATGCTAAAGTTGGTTTAACACTTGTTGAAAAATTTACAAGTTGAAGTTAAACTAAGGTCGTGTTAAAAGAAAATTAGTTTAACACTTGTTGAAATTTTAAAGAAAATTTACAAATTGAAGTTAAGCTGAGGTTATGTTAAAAGAAGTATCTACGTACTTGCCGAGATTACCATGGAAGACAGAAGTCTTGTTAACTAAAAGTGAAGTACCAAGACAAACAACTCAATGGGTATATCCGAGGTATTTTACCCCGAGGGGATTGCACAGTTAAGGTGTACTCTGAAGACATGCAAAATATTCTAAGTATTGAGGCACACAAGATAGTAAAAGAAAGACAAGCATTCAAATTACATTAAAAGAAGAAATTAGAGAATGCATTCAGATAAGGAAAGAAGGCACTTCGGCCTGACATTAAAGAAAAATTGTTCAGATTACAAAAAAGCACATTGGCCAAATAAGAGCTAAACATTGTTCAAAAAGAAAAAAACTCCAGCGGTGGTTCGTCCACCCGGTGGCACTCCGATGATCAAGTCAGTTATCTATCAAAGATAGCAAAAGTGCTTAACTCACTATTCAGAAATACAAAAAGCGTACCTTAGACCCACGATGGTGCCTTATTTTTATAACCAAAACTGACCTGATCCCTGTAGAAGCCTAGCTTCACTGGACTCTGGCTCAATGCCTATCCAGGACTCTCAAATAGATAAAGATAAACTCTCTAAGAGTTTTATCCTTACCCAGGCTAAAGTCCTCCCTCATTTTAGGACTCTTGTAACTTATCCGCTCATCTTGAATTCCGGTATCTTCGCAGATAACCTCGGCCTAGCCGAGATTACCTCGGCGTCAAGTCAAGGACACATGGCACCTCGGTTGGCACTTCAGTGCCACCCTGGCCACGTGTTGTTATCCAAAAAATATGTCCCTACAGTACGCTACTTAAGCTGAAAATGACATGGATTTGGAAAATTTAATAAAAATATACATAAATTTGATAAAACTTATAATATAAAGAGTAAGGGGAATGGATAAGTAGTGACCGAGAAATGATGAAAGAGGAATGAGGATGATAAAAGGAAGGTGAGGGAATGGTTAGGGAGGGTGGTGGATAGGGCAAGTAGTCACGAGGTTGGGTGTGAAAGGATTAGCTAATAGAGAGGAGCTAAGAGAGAATAGAGGAGAGAAATATAGTCAAAATGGTAAAATAATAATATTTAAGAAATGTTAAAAAGATTATTATTAGTGTTAAAAAATATATACAAATATATTGAAAGGTATAAAAGATTTATAAATATATTAAAACGTTTTAAAAATAGATAAAAAGTGTATTAAAATTATAATATTTTTAAAATTTTATATTTTTTATTGACAACATGACACAATATCCTTTTATTAAAATTTGATTCCTCATAGTCTTGTATTTTCTCCCCTAAATATCATTTTTCTGCAATTTTTTTGGTTAGAATTACATTAAATTTATGCAAAGTATTTCAGTGATTAATTGATGTAATTGGACAAACATATAGTATTCTTATTGAAAAATAATATATAAATCTATTGTTTAGACTCATTTTTTCAACGAGTGATTTGTCAATAAGATGATTATTTTAATATTAAAAAATATTTAATTATCAAATAATCGTTTTTTTTAACATACAGTGAATTTAGAAAATAGTCTAATTTTTGGATTTGAATAGTCATGCTCATCAAAAAAAAAAAAAAAGAAGAAGAAGAAGAAGAAGTAGTAGTCATACTCATTTTTATTGGACAAAATAAGATGACAGTTATACATTTTCAATACTGGTAAAATGACCGTTAATAGTTGGAACATCCAAACCAGACTCTGCATTTCGTTACATTTTCAATACTGGTAAAATGACCGTTAATAGTTGGAACATCCAAACCAGACTCTGCATTTCGTTTCTCTTCTACATGCCTTGTTCATATCTTTCTCTCAATCTCTCTCCACCCAAAAAACTCTCCAGACTCATCTTCTCCTCTTGCTTCTCAACCCACATTTCATCACTCAGAAATGCCCAATTCAATCAATCACCACCCATTGTTCACAAACTCTTATCGTTCTTGCAAGAGGTCTCGCATTGCCTTTTCCGGGTTATGTCTGTTCATGCTCAAATCATCACCAACTCACTATCTTCAGACCAATTTGTGGCCACCAGACTTGTAAAAGCCTACTCTGATGTGGGTAGTTTAGAATCTGCCCGCTGTGTGTTCGATCAAATTCCTCAACCACATGTTTTTCTATGTAATGCCATGATGAATGGGTATTTACGAAATGAGCTGTATAATGAGACCCTCAGGTTGTTCCAGATGATGGGTTGTCATAATTTAGAAATTGATAGTTGCACTTGTACTTTTGCACTCAAAGCGTGTACGGGCTTATCAGATTATGAGAGTGGGATGGGAATTATCAGAGGTGTTGCGGAGAGTAGGAAGGAAAGAGATCGATTTTTTGGAAGTTCAGTGATTAATTTTTTGGTTAAATTTGATCATATTGATGAGGCACAAAGGGTATTCGATGGCATTCGACATAGGGATGTTGTTTGTTGGAATGCAATGATTGGAGGTTACGTGCAAGCATGTCATTTTAATGAAGCTATTGATCTGTTTTTTGAGATGCGTGGTTGTGGAAATAGGCCCACTCCGGTAACTATGGTGAGCTTGATGAAGGCATGTGAAGGGATTGGAAATTTACAACTTGGAAAATGTATTCATGGATGTGTTCTTGGATTGGGAATGGGTAAGGATACTCTGGTGCTCACATCATTGCTTGATATGTATAGTAAAATGGGTCACACTCAAATTGCTTATCGGGTTTTTGAGAGGATGCCTATGAAAAGCTTGGTATCATGGAATGCAATGATTTCAGGATGTGTTCAAAGTGGTTTGATTCATGAATCATTTGAACTATTTCATAGATTAGTCAACACCGGTGGTGGGTTTGATTCGGCAACTACTGTTAGCCTCCTTCAGGGTTGTTCACAAACAGCTGATTTAGAAACTGGAAAGATCCTCCACGGTTGCATCTTAAGAAAGGGTCTTGAATTAAATCTCATTTTATCGACTACACTTGTTGATTTGTATTGCAAATGTGGTGCATTAGATCTGGCAACTTCTACGTTTAACCGTATGAAAGACAAGAATGTGATCACGTGGACTGCTATGTTAGTAGGGCTAGCGCAAAATGGGTTAGCAGAAGCGGCTTTGAAATTATTTCATCAGATGCAAGAAGAGGAAGTTGATGCCAATTTTGTCACTCTTGTTAGTTTGGTCCATTCTTGTGCCCATTTGGGCTCTTTGAAGAAAGGAAGGAGTGTGCATGCTCATTTAATTCGCAGTGGCTTTGCTTTTGATGTGGTTAACATGACAGCCCTAATTGATATGTATGCCAAGTGTGGGAAAATGAACTCTGCAGAACGGATATTTGAGAATGGGTATGTCTATAAAGATGTTATTTTATGGAACTCTATGATAACTGGCTATGGCATACATGGTCATGGGAATCAAGCTATTGGTGTGTATAGTAGAATGATAGAAGAGAGAGTCAAGCCAAATCAAGCTACCTTTGTTTCTCTTTTAGCTGCTTGTAGTCACTCAGGGCTAGTGGATGAGGGGATTAATCTGTTTAACAGCATGGAAACCGACCATAACATTAGGCCGAATGAGAAGCACTATGCTTGCTTTGTGGACCTTCTCGGTCGAGCAGGCCGTCTTGAAGAAGCCGAGGCATTTATTAGAAAAATGCCTTTTGAACCAGGTGGTGCTGTTCTTGAAGCTTTACTGAGTTGGTGCCGTACTCCCAGAAACATCAATATGGGTGTAGAAACTGCAGATAGATTGCTTCAATTAGATGCCATGAACCCTGGAATTTATGTTGTTTTATCAAATATATATGCCGAAGGAAAGAGATGGGATGCGGTAGATCACATTCGAGGCCTCATGAGGAAACGGGGACTAGCGAAAATACCCGGATATAGCTTGATTGAAATAGGAAACCAAGTATACACCTTTTTTGCTGGTGATGATTCACATCCAAAGTCGGGTGAAATTTACCGGTTTATAGAGACGTTAAGGTTAGAGGTGGAGACTTGTGGGTATGTGCCCGATACTAGTTGTGTTCTCCGTGATGTGGATGAGCAGATGAAGGTGAAGTTGCTTTGGGGTCATAGTGAGAGACTAGCAATAGCATTTGGAATTTTGAGCACACCAGCTGGAAGTTTAATTAGAATCACTAAGAATCTTCGGGTTTGTGTTGACTGTCATAGTTTGACCAAATATATATCAAAGATAGTAAAGAGAGAGATTATTGTGAGAGATGCTAATCGTTTTCATCACTTCCTGGATGGTGAATGTTCTTGTGGTGATTATTGGTGATGAGGGACTTCTCAAAAAAATGTGTCTAGTATTAGTATTGAGTTGTAGTTGGACATCATGGTTCTCACTTATGGATCATCTTACAAGAGATCAATTTTCGATCTCGTTATGCTCACTGGATTATGGCAAAGGACCAAAGACTCAAAGTACAGAGGTAACACAAGTTTTATTCTTTTCACTTTCTTGGATTTTAATTGCTTCACTCAAATTTATGGTAATTTAAAATTTGTTTTAATAGGCTGCTGTTCCTCTTAGCAAATTATGGAAATTCAATTTATCCAGTTTTTTTATGTTGTTGTCAACTTTTAAACTGCAATTTTTATTTATTTTAGTTTGGCAGTTCTTTGGGTTGGGAAAAAGAGCTACTTGCAAAGAGCACAAGTTGGACATCCAAGAAGAGCCATTGGGATAGCACATTTTTTTTCTTCCCATGTGATGTAAGTAACTCCATGTGAAGAACTTAAGCACATGGCATGGTTTATTTTTCCAATAAGTGGCCAAAAGATTGGGACTTTCACATTGATTTGATCCCATATGTTTCAACACTTATTTCCCTTCTTGAAACTTCGATTCAAGGATTTTTTTTTTTGGCGCAGCAGGAACTACAGAGAGCACTCTTTGTTCCTTGTGCACACATGTTAAAAAAAAAAAAAAAAGAGGCAAAAAAACATATTCTAAATCCAATTCCCAAATTTGCTCATTAAGAAGCGTTCAACAGTTCATTTGGTAGAACTAGTAGCCTTATATGGCCATGCATGATTGGGTTGATTTGATCACACAAAGCTTAAAACTTATTTCCTTCTTGACACATCCGCTAAGGAATTGATTTTATGAGCAGTAAAAAAAACCCGGGACCACCAACATAATAAATTGGTTTTCATACTTCCAATTCCCTAATTTTTCCCTTTAAGTGATGTTTCTGTTTGACCTTTTGTTTGGGTAAAACAGTATTTGAGAGTTAGCACTTTGCAGCAACAGATGTTCGTGTGTGATTTTTTCACTTTGGAATGGCATGAAGTTTTGGAGGCATTAAATGGAACCAAATTTAACATGAAGATTATTAAAAGACTAGCACATGAAGCAAGTCAACTACTAACTTGTAAGTTATTCTTTTCGTCTGTCTTTTTTAGAGATGTGGCCAACTGATTTCAGATACATCATATAAGTGATATATTAATTTGTGCGGTGTCGATATAGTAATTAACAAGCTCTACGATCTTAGTATGTATTTCCAGAAATATTGATTCACAATTACGGTTAGATTTTTGTCGAACTATCATCTTTTTTGCACAATCTTGTGTCCTATTTATCCAAATTGTCTTATAAAATCTCGCGTAAAAGTTTCTTTCAGTTCAAAAAAGAACCTAACAAATCAAATATGTTCATGGGGTTAGGAAAGCAGATCTTTATGAGTACAATTTCTTTTTCTAATCATGGTTTGTTTGGCATATTGCTCGATTGATGTGAATATATGATAGACTCACCTTATATCTCTAAAAGAAGGCCATTACAATTTACAGTGTTACTTCTGCCAATGCAAGGTTCTAGGCTTAGAAGCAAGAAATTCCTATGGAGGTCTCGCTCCCACCCCCACCCTTGCTTCCAACCTTAAACTCTTCTATAGGGTCCTCGCTCACCCGTCCCGCTCCCACTAGGATTTCTAAAGATGGGTGACTCATGGAGAGAGAGAGAGAGAGAGAGAGAGAGAGAGAGAGAGAGAGAGATTGTCTTATGAAATTTGACTTGGATGAATCTACCAAAGAACATGGTTCAGTATCTATACAAAATTTTAAAGAGCATTGATATATCTCATAGAAATTCTAGAATTCACCAAGGTGATTGTGGTAGCTCTACCCATAGCCTCTTTTTTTTTTTTCTTTATATTTTCTTGTAAATTCAAGTAAGTCACTTGAAGGGCTGCCCAGTGGACAAGGCTCCGCCGCTGCAAGTATGAGAAAGGGTCAGATGTACGTAGCCTTATCCCCTCACATACAGATAAGGCTATTTTCTGTATTTCAAACCCATTAGCCTCTTTTTTTTTTTTTCTTTATATTTTCTTGTAAATTCAAGTAAGTCACTTGAAGGGCTGCCCAGTGGACAAGGCTCCGCCGCTGCAAGTATGAGAAAGGGTCAGATGTACGTAGCCTTATCCCCTCACATACAGATAAGGCTATTTTCTGTATTTCAAACCCATGATGTCCAAGTCACAATAGAGCAACCTTACTACCGTTGGCCAGAAAACCATAACATAAGCTCAACTGCAAACCATTGCATACACTTTTTTCCAGCTCCAGCATTGAAAGTAAAACAACATGGATGGTGATGTATGATGAAGAGAATCAAAGCAAGTAGGTGAAAAATACTACATTAGTTTATTGTATTTGCCTTTCATTTTTTTGGTCACACACTAGGATTTCGCGCACATCCTTTGTAAGATAACTATGGTTGCCTATGCTAGCAAAGCTTATTTTACTAAAACACCAGGACATAAAAACCCAACAACATCACTAATTTATACCATAACATAGTTCAACTTAAATAAAATACTAATTGTAATAAAGCTGTGGACACCAATCTCATTATTTTCTTGCAGCCTCTCTCTACTGCCAATGGTTCCCCGTGTAAGTCTCTCTTGTCTAGTACGGCCTAGATGACAGATTGAAATTGCCGTACCTACTTGCAGGGTTAGTTGCATAAGTATCTCTTTTTGAAACTGTCGAGACTAGTGCAGCAGCAACACTAACTGGAGAAGTCTTGGCCGCTTCTTTGAGGATCTCCACTGCTTTACCAATATCATTTGTTGGTCCATGACTAGGGTGCTTAGACTCATATTTCTGGCCAAACATCTGTCTTTCCCCCCCATCTTGGTTGATCAGAGTGGGTTCTGTAAAGCTATCATCTCTACGATAATTATCATACTCACCACAGCCAGTACTGTTGCCTGAATAAGGCTGGTTGCGCCAATTTGTGGTACCCAAGAAGCCCGGCCTCGTTGCTCCTCGGTTGGGTTCAACTTGAACGTTCGAAATGATTTCCTCAACCCTTTGTGGGCGATCACGAATCGTACTGGAAGGCGTACGCCATTTGTCGTCAGTGTATCTGTAATCCTTCACTGGCTCCAAAGGTGGACGACCATACTCCACGATTCTTTCTGTACTTGTTGTGATGTAACTTTCCGAGCCGGGGTTGGGAGAGTCGGAAATGTTTGGCCTTTTCCTTCCTTCAGCTTCGAAAATGGTTGGGCGGCTCGCAGGATCAAAATAACCATTTTCATCGTAGGTTTTTTTGTTCCGATCATCAGTGTAGCCTCTGTTCAAGTAACCATGCCCTGCCATTGCTCAATGTAAGCTCTTTTGGGGACTTCTTTTTTATGTTAAAAGAACTCCTTTAAGACCTCACCTCCTTCTCAGTTTCTAAAGAGGTAACAAATTCTACTTATATAGAAAATCTATGTTCTCTTTTGCTTCAACAAGTAGGTTATAATGCTAGAGGATCTGATACTCTCTTTTCTAAATATTTATTTATGGTTTTTTTGGGGGAATGCACAATGAGATTTTGTTGGGGTCTACCATTGAAGTAAATGCTAAAAAGAATCAAATTCTGCTCATCCATGGATGTGACTTCCATTAGTTGTCCATATGTATTCTGAACAATTATTCGAACCACCATGCCAATTTTAGCCTCAGGTTAGCCAAGCCATATAAGAAAAAGTGAGATCCAATGCCTTTTTACCTTCAGTTGAATTCGAGTTAAATATTCTCACGTCTCTTTTCACCTTTTTGACAAAAGTGGACATTTAAGTTTTTTCTTTAAAAATTTTAAAATGACTGATTGTGAATATTTTGAAATTAAATTGATATGATGTTCTTGGATCACCGAATAATTACTCTCAAGTTTTGCCTAACAGACAATGATCTGACCCAAGGTTTTAAAAAGCGGCCGTAACCGTTACGTAACGCCGTTACGTAACGGTTTTGGCGTTTACCGCCACCCGTTACGGTCGCTTTTGCAGTGCGATTGAGATTCACAGGTGTGTCGGCTGTAACGGCTGCCGTAGCAGTCGTAACGGTGCCGTAACGGCCTGTTACGTACCGTTACGTAACGGTTCCAAACTGTTTCTTTCGAAAAAACACAAAAAAAAAAAGGCTGAAAATGGGGGAAGAGGGATAGAGAGAAGATGGAAGATAAAGAGAGAAAATGGAGTAAGAGATAGAGAGAGAGAAGAGAGAAGAGAGAAGATGAAGAACATGTTATTGATTTGTTGAAGCTGTATGACCTATGCTATTCTATTCAGCTGCTATCACTAAACTATATTGTTTGTGTGTCTCTATCTATATATTGTTTGAAAATAATAATAATAATAATAATAATAATAATAATAATAATAATTAGTGTGGTCATTATTTATTTGGTTTGGTTAAAATATGTATACATATATATTTAGGCTCTTGTTTATTTTCATACTTTTGTCATTATTTATCTTATATATAATAGTTAGTGATTGAATTTTTGTATAATATAAAGTCGTTAATTATTAAAATAAAATGTAAAAAACTCAGTTTATAGTGATTTAAAAATATGAAATATATTGGATCATATTTAAAAATTTACAAAAATTGATAAATATTTATTTTTAATCCAATAAATATGATCATGGAAAAAAAATATGCGTATCGGTAAGTTTTTTTCAAATTGTGCGAAAAATAAAAAAATTCACGATTCTAATTACTGCAACCGTTACACTACGGCCTTTACACCTTGCAACCTCAACTGCGTCACCGTTACCGTTACGACGACCGCAACCGCTTTTCAGAACCTTGATCTGACCTGTCTAGTGGTAACAGCTGGTGCTTAATTTGGTGATAGAATCCACTACAAGTCAACACCATAATAGAATAAAGAAAGAGAATCACAAAGTTTAAAAGTACAAAGAGAAAACCATTATGAATATTTCATTCTGTTTTATCATATGTTTTGCAGCTCAAATAAGAATCAATGGTGGGACATAGATTGGGAGAGACTTTGTGTGAAAAAGCTCAATCTCCAACCAGTGATGGATATACAAACAAAAAATTTATATAAAAATTTTGTATAGAATAATGTGGTCTATTGTGAAATTTTTATTTTAAAACAAAACAACAAAACACCTAAGAAAATGTCCTTTATTTATTAAAAAAATAGAAGATATTGCCATATTATTTTTATTTATCAAAAAAAAAAAAAAATTTTTATATTAATTTTTGTATAAATTGTTGAATGTCAAAGTGACATCATCATCAACTTGCATGGAATTTGATAAAAGTGAAGATTTTGTTAGATACCTTTTGATAAATAAAATGCTTTATTTTATTTTTTTATTTTTTTTTGTATTCTTGTAAAAAAGTTGTTTATAATTTTGTTCATGTTTGGTGCCACTTATAAAAGGTGTTTATAATTTTTTAAATTTTATTTTAGGAAGTCTTAAAAATAACTTAGATAAACTGAAAAGAATTGATTTTTGAGAAACTGAAAGAGAAGTACTTTTAATTTCTTTGTTTTAATTATTAATTCAACTTGCAAAAAACTGCCCAAACATGACCTTTCTAAGGTACTTATTACCGCAATTCCAGCTAACTTAACCAAGTGGTGGTGAGATCAATTTGCTACATTATAAGCAACGTAGTTTGATTGTGATTCTCTCCATTGCATATTTGTAATGAAGAGGTTCCATTACATCATTCAATGATGAGGGCCTTCTCGAAAAAATGTGGCTAGTACTAGTGTTGAGTGGTATTCGGAGCTTATGGTTATCGCTTATTGGTCATCTCACAAGAGATCATTTTTCAATCTCGTTATGCTCAATGGATTACGGCAAAAGACCAAGACTCAAAGAACAGAGGTAACATAAGTTTTATTCTTTTAACTTTCTTGGATTTTTCTTGCTTCACTCAAATATAGAACAAATTTGTGATAATTTAAAATTGTTTCAATAGGCTGCTGTTCCTCTTAGCAAATTATGGAAATTGGATTTATCTAGCTTTTTATATTTGTCAATGTTTAAACTGCAATTTTATTTATTTAGTTTATGTTATTATTATTCTTAGTTTGGCAGTTCTTTGGTCAGGAAAAAGAGCAACTTGTGAAGAGCACAGGTTGGACATCCAATAAGTGGCCACAGGTGTGGGACTTTCACATTGATTTGATCCCATATGTTTCAACACTTATTTCCCTTCTTGAAACTTTGATTCGAGGAATTGTGTGTGTGTGTGTGTGCAGCAGGACTACAGAGAGCACTATTTGTACCTTATGGCCATGTTTGATTCACAACACTAATAGTGAGGTATTAATAATCCTATTAAATTAGTGTGGTATTAGTTATCCCACCCCTACCCCATTACTAATAATCCTACAAACTTGTTGGATTAATTATCCATTGGATTAATAATCCTAAACCAAAATGTCAAAACAAACATAGGATTATTGGGCCCACGGATTAATAATCCCAATCCTATGCTTTAATCCTTCCAATCAAACATACCCTATGCGTACACAAAAGAAAAAAAGAAGAAGAAGGTATTCTAAACTCAATTCCCAAATTTTCTCATTAAGTAGTGTTTAACAGTTCATTTGGTAGTACTAGCAGCTTATATGGCCACGCATGATTGGGACAATTACTTGCAGTTTTTTTCCCCTCTCATTTATGTTTGGTTAAAACAGATGAGTTAATTATTTTAACATTGATTTGATCACACAAAGCTTAAAACTTATTTCCTTGTTGACACATCCGCTAAGGAATTGTTTTTATGAGCAGTAAAAAAAACCCGAGACCACCAATTTGTAGCGTACATAATAAATTGGTTTTCATACTTCCAATTCCCTAATTTTTTCCCTTTAAATGATGTTTCTGTTTGACCTTTTTATTTGGGTAAAACAGTATTTGATAGTCAGCACTTTGCAGCAGCAGATGTTCGTGTGTGATTTTTTCACTTTGGAATGGCGCGAAGTTTTGTAGGCCATAAATGGAACCAAATTGCACATGAAGATTATTTAAAGACTAGCATATGAAGCAAGTCAACTACTAACTTGTAAGTTAATCATTTTGTCTGTCTTTATTACAGATATGGCCCAACCGATTTCAGATACATCATACAAGTGATATATTAATTTGTGCAGTGTTGATATTGCGATGCTGCCTATTGCCATCAGACTTCCAAAGCATGTGTTCCGGAATTCTGCTGGTAATCTTATTGATGGCAATGCCAGGACAATACAGCGTCTTCCACTTCTCAAGCGGAGGCGCATGCTGTCTGTATGGCCTGTCTAATGGTTCATGCACATCATGCTATGCCTGTGGAGATTGAGAGTGATAATCGTCAAATTATTCAGCTGAGTGTAGCAGAAACAGTCCCTCCGTGGGAGTTGAGTGCTCTCATTTTGGATATTCGTTGGTTAGCTTCTCAACATCAGATGGCCTTCTCCTGGACTGGTTGTATGAACAAGAAGGTGGCACACTGGGTCGCGACGGCTAACTCACCCCCTGTTTCGTGGGTTGGTGTACCTCCTGTTCCTCTAAGGGAATTATTATCATCGGATGTAACTTCTTCTGCAGTTTGAATGAAGATGCTAGTGTTCAAAAAAGAAAAAAAAAAGATATAGCAATTAACAAGCTCTATGATCTAGTATGTATTTCCAGATATTGATTCACAATTACGGTCATGTTTTTGTTGAACTTTCATGTTTTTTTGCCTAGTATTGTATCCTTTTTATCCAAATTGTTTTTTGAAATTTTGTGTAGAAGTTTCTTTCAATTCAAAAGGACTGTGTACATTTTCAATTCAAAAAAGTACCCAACAGATCAAATCTATTCATGGGGTTAGGAAATGAGATTTTGTAAGTACAATTTCTTTTTATAATTAAGGTTGGTTGGCGTTTTGCTTGATTGATGTGAATTTATGATGGGATTGCCTTATATCTCTAGAAGAAGGCCATTACACAGTGTTACTTCTGCCAATGCGTGGTTCTAGGCTGTAGCAAGAAACTTCTATGGAGGCCCCCATTCCCAACCTTAAACTCTTCTATAGGGCCCTCAATCCCCCATCGATCCCTAGTCCTGCTACCAGCTCTTCAGGATTTCTTAAGACTGTGACTCATGATCGAGAGAGAGAGAGAGAGAGATTGTTTTACGAAATTTAACTTGGATGAATCTACCAAAGAAATGGTTCATAATCTATAAAAATTTTGAAAGAGCATTGATATATCTCACAGAAATATATGATTCATCGAAGTGATATTGTGGTGGCTCTATTCATAATCTTTTTTGTTTACATTTTCTTTAAATTTAAGGAAGTCACTTAAAAGGTAGCCAAAGATAGCTCAATGGACGAGACTCTCACCGCTACGCAGCCTTATCTCCTCTTATGAAGAGACTGTTTTCGTATTTTGAACTCATGGTACCCAAGTCACAATAGAACAACCTTACCACAAACGATGGCGAACACTTTTTCCACTATAGCCTTGTAGGTAAACAACATGGATGGAGATATATGAGGAAGAGAATCAAAAAGTAGGCAAAAAAACTAACATTAGTTTATTGTATTTGCCTTTTCTTTTATTGGCCACACCCTGGGATTTTATACATATCATTTATAAGACAAGACAACTATGGTTGCCTCTGCTAGCAAAGCTTATTTTACTAAAATACCATGACATAAAACACCCTGATATATCTCACAGAAATATATGATTCATCGAAGTGATATTGTGGTGGCTCTATTCATAGTCTTTGTTGTTTACATTTTCTTTAAATTTAAGGAAGCCACTTAAAAGGTAGCCAAAGATAGCTCAATGGACTAGACTCTCACCACTACGCAGCCTTATCCTCTCTTATGAAGAGACTGTTTTCGTATTTTGAACTCATGGTACCCAAGTCACAATAGAACAACCTTACCACAAACGATGGCGAACACTTTTTCCACTATAGCCTTGTAGGTAAACAACATGGATGGAGATATATGAGGAAGAGAATCAAAAAGTAGGCAAAAAAACTAACATTAGTTTATTGTATTTGCCTTTTCTTTTATTGGCCACACCCTGGGATTTTATACATATCATTTATAAGACAAGACAACTATGGTTGCCTCTGCTAGCAAAGCTTATTTTACTAAAATACCATGACATAAAACACCCAACATCATCACTAATTTAGACCATAAGATACTCTCAACTTAAATAAAATACTAATTGTAATAAAGCTTTGGACACCGATCTCGTTATTTTGTTGCAGCCTCTCTGTACTGCCAATGGTTCCTGTGTAAGTCTCTCCTGTCTAGTACGGCCTAGATGACAGATTGAAACTGCCGTACCTACTCGCAGGGTTAGGTGTGTAAGTTTCTCTTCTCGGAACCGTTGAGGCTGGTGCAGTACCCGACCATGGCTGTGCTACTGCAGTAGCAACACTGACCGGAGAAGTCTTGGCCGCTTCTTGGAGGATCTCCATTGCTTTCCCAATATCATTTGTTGGTCCAGAAACTCGGGTGTCACGACTAGGGTACTTAGGCTCACTGTTCTTATACATCTGTCCTTCCCCCCCATCAAATCTCGGGCCAAAGATCTGTCCTAACCCCCCACCTTGGTTGATCATAGCGGGGGGTTCGTTTCTACCATAATTATCATGCTCACCTGAATAAGGATGGTTGCGCCATTTGTTGTCGGTGTATCCATAATCCTTCACCGGCTCCATAGGTGGACGACCATACTCGAGGGTTCTGTCTGTACTTGTTGTGATGTAACTTTCCGAGCCGGGGTTCGGAGAGTAGGAAACGATTGGCCTTTTCCTTCCTTCAGCTTCGAAAATGGTCGGGCGGCTCGCAGGATCAAAATAACCACTTTCACCGTAGGCTTTTTTGTTCCTATCATCAGTGTAGCCAGTGTAGCCTCTGTTCATATAACCATACCCTGCCATTGCTCAATGTAAGCGCTCTTGGGGACACTTTCTTTTTTTTGTTTGTTAAAAGAATTTCTTTAAGACCTCACTTCCTTCTCAATTCCTAAAGAGGTAACTACTTCAACTTATATAGAAAATCTCTATATTCTCTTTTGCTTCAACAGATTAGTTGTAATGCTAGAGGATCTGATACTTTTTCTTCAACGCACAATAAGATTCTGTTGGGGTCTACCATTGAAGTGTAATTGCTTAAGAGAATCAAATTCTGCTCATTCATGATGTGTCTTTCATTAGCTGTCTGTAAGACTATGTTTGGATCATAAATTTAGGTATGAATCTACGGAGAGAAAAGAAAATCGCAGGGAAATGTGAATTACAATTAGATTATATTTCATTTGTATTTCCCTCATCATTTCCTTTCCTTTCACATATCCTTACATAAATCTCAAAACACAGCGTAAGTATTCAACTTCAGGAAAAATTATGTAAGTGTTCTCAGTTTCGACCACATAAAAAAGAGTGGGACCTACAATTAAAGTGTAATTGCTTAAAAGAATCAAATTCTGCTCATCCATGATGTGTCTTCCATTAGCTGTCCATAAGGCTATTTTGGATCATGAATTTAGGTATGAATCTACGGAGAAAAAAGAAAATCGAAGGGAAATGTGAAAGAGGTTTGATATATATCAAAGATAGTAAAGAGAGAGATTATTGTGAGAGATGCTAATCGTTTTCATCACTTCCTGGATGGTGAATTTCTTGTGGTGATTACTGGTGATGAGGGACTTCTTGAAAAGATGTGGCTAGTATTAGTATTGAGTTGTAGTTGGACCCCCCCATGGTTCTCACTTATGGGTAATCTTACAAGGGATTAATTTTCAATCTCGTTAGGCTCCCTGGATTATGGCAAAGGACCAAAGACTGAAAGTACAGAGGTAACACAAGTTTTATTCTTTTTACTTTCTTGGATTTTACTTGCTTCACTCAAATATAGAACAAATTTATGATGATTTAAAATTTGTTTTAATAGGCTGCTGTTCCTCTTAGCAAATTATGGAAATTCAATTTATCTAGTTTTTTATGTTGTTGTCAACTTTTAAACTGCTATGTTTATTTATTTTTTAGTTTGGCAGTTCTTTGGGTCGGGAAAAAGAGCTACTTGCAAAGAGCACAGGTTGGACATCCAAGAAGAGCCATTGGGATAGCACATTTTTTTCTTCCCATGTGATGTAAGTAACTCCATGTGAAGAACTTAAGCACATGGCATGGTTTATTTTTCCCAATAAGTGGCCACAAGATTGGGACTTTCACATTGATTTGATCCCATATGTTTCAACACTTATTTCCCTTCTGGAAGCTTTGATTCAAGAATATTTTTGTTTTTTGTGCACAGCAGGAACTACAGAAAGCACTATTTGTTCCTTGCGTGCACATGAAAAAAAAAAGAGGCAAAAAAACGTATTCTAAATCCAATTCCCAAATTTGCTCATTAAGTAGCGTTTAACAGTTCATTTGGTAGTACTAGTAGCCTTATACGGCCATGCATGATAGGGTAGATTTGATCACACAAAGCTTAAAACTTATTTACTTCTTGACACAGCCACTAAGGAATTGATTTTATGAGCAGGAAAAAGACCCGAGACCACCAAGTTGTAACTTACATAATAAGTTGGTTTTCATACTTCCAATTCCCTAATTTTTCCATGGTTCTGTTTGACCTTTTGTTTGGGTAAAACAGTATTTGAGAGTCAACACTTCGCAGCAGGAGATTTTCGTGTGTGATTTTTTCACTTTGGAATGGCATGAAGTTTTGGAGGCCATAAATGGAACCAAATTTAACATGAAGATTATTAAAAGACTAGCATATGAAGCAAGTCAACTACTAACTTTTAAGTTATTCATTTCGTCTCTGTTTTAGAGATATGGCCAACTGATTTTAGATACATCATATAAGTGATATATTAATTTGTGCAGTGTCAATATAGTAATTAACAAGCTCTGAGATCTTAGTATGTATTTCCAGAAATATTGATTCACAATTACGGTTAGATTTTTGTCAAACTATCATCTTTTTTTTCCGCACAATCTTGTGTCCTATTTATCCAAATTGTCTTATGAAATCTTGCGTAAAAGTTTCTTTTAGTTCAAAAAAGAACCTAACAAATCAAATATATTCATGGGGTTAGGAAAGCAGATCTTTATACGTATAATTTCTTTTTCTAATCATGGTTTGTTTGACGTATTGCTCAATTGATGTGAATTTATGATAGACTCACCTTATATCTCTAAAAGAAGGCCATTACAATTTACAGTGTTACGTCTGCCAATGCAAGGTTCTAGGCTTAGAAGCAAGAAATTCCTATGGGACCCTCGCTCCTGCCCCCACCCCCACCCTTGCTCCCAACCTTAAACTCTTCTATAGGGTCCTCGCTCACTCGTCCCGCTCCCGCTACCATTCCTTCAGGATTTCTAAAGATGGGTGACTCATAGAGAGAGAGAGAGGATAAAAAATTTGAAAGAACATGGATGAATCTACCAAAGAACATGGTTCAGTATCTATAAAAAATTTGAAAGAGCATTGATATATCTCATAGAAATTCTACAATTCACCAAAGCGATTGTGGTAGCTCTATCCATAGCCTTTTTTTTTTAATTTTTAAATTCAAGTAAGTCACTTGACGGGCAGCCCAATGGACGAGGCTCCGCTGCTACAAGTCTAAGAAAGGGTCAGATGTACGCAACTTTACTCCCCCTAGAGAAGACTTTCTGTATTTCAAATCCATGATGTTCAAGTTACGCAATGTTAACCCCCTCCTAGCATACAGAGAAGGTTGTTTCTGTATTTCAAACCCATGATGTCCAAGTTACAATAGAGCAACCTTACTACTGTTGGTCATAAATCCATAACACAAGCTCAACTACAAACCATTGCAAACACTTTTTTCCAGCTCCAGCATTGAAAGTAAAACATGGATGGAGATGTATGATGAAGAGAATCAAAGCAAGTAGGCAAAAAATACTACATTAGTTTATTATATTTGCCTTTTCTTTTATTGGTTACACACTAGGATTTTGGCACACATCCTTTGTAAGACAACTGTGGTTGCCTATGCTAGCAAAGCTTATTTTACTAAAATACCAGGACATAAAAACCCAACAACATCACTAATTTATACCATAACATAGTTGAACTCAAATAAAATGCTAATTGTAATAAAGCTGTGGACACCAATCTCGTTATTTTCTTGCAGCCTCTCTCTACTGCCAATGGTTCCCGTGTAAGTCTCTCCTGTCTAGCATGGCCTAGATGACAGATTGAAATTGCCGGCCATAGTTGTCAGACTGAAATTGCCTGGCATAGTTGTCAGACTGAAATACCTACTCTCAGGGTTAGTTGTGTAAGTATCCCTTTTCGGAACTGTCGAGACTAGTGCAGTAGCAACACTAACCGGAGAAGTCTTGGCCTCTTCTTTGAGGATCTCCACTGCTTGACCAATATCATTTGTTAGTCCATGACTAGGGTGCTTACTCATATTTTCGGCCAAACATCTGTCTTTCCCCCCATCTTGGTTGATCATAGCGGGTTCTGTAAAGCTATCATCTCTATGATAATTATCATACTCACCATAGTCAGTACCGTTGCCTGAATAAGGTTGGTTGTGCCAATTTGTGGTGCCCAAGAAGCCCGGCCTCGTTGCTCCTCGGTTGGGTTCAACTTGAACGTTCGAAATAAATTCCTCAACCCTTTGTGGGCGATC